GTTGATACTCGCCCGAGAGTGAGGGGGTCAGCGTCTTCAAAAGTCCGTGACGGGGGAGAGAGAAGCCCCTTTCTGGCTTGGACTTGGACTCATTTGGAGGATGGCGATTTTGCTTTGCTTTGTATAGACTGTATACAATAGCTCGTAACGTCTAAATTAACGGTTTAGACGAAGTCCTCTGGCATCTGTCGCACTCTTCTGATCACCCACCGAACAAAACTCATCAAACGACTGGCCTCGCAAGACACCGCTGGGCAGTCATCATCTGAACAACCAAGGGACGAACCTTTACTCCACCTGACGTGCGTAAGCAACGGGCGTGCAGTTGCGCGGAGGAACAGGGCAACAAATTTCGAGTTTATTCTATTGTGCAACTCAATATCGAAGCAGTGTACTACATTTAACGGAGCTATTTACCGCTCGCGTGAGAGCTGCTGGCCGGCAAGGTTTCGGATCGGACCGCGTTTCAGTTCTATCAAATCACGATTTATCTTGCGAAAATGCGGTTTCAACTTCTAACGACGAAGTACTAAAAGGAATCTCTTGCTCATTTGTTTCCAACTGGGTGACGTCCGGATCCCGGGCAGCAGAGCCTCAGGCAATCTGACGCTTAGCGACTCGACCTCACCTGGCCGACTTGCTTAACCACTCATGGTTGAAGAAGAACAATCAAGTCGCAGCTGGTGTAGCGCTTAAAATCCGACCCCCGAGTTTTTTCGCGCGCTTCCGACTCGGGATACACAGGGAGAAGAAACAGAAGAAAGGATTGCAATGTCGACCAAGCTAAACGCGCTCATTGTTGCCAATCGAGTCGATGCAAACCGAAACCAAGGCAAAATAAAATTTTTTTGGCGCACGTTTTGAGATTTGATGCATAATGACGCAAGGTATTGGCTGTGGCGCAGTCTCCGCAACATGGGGCAGGATGGCGCAGACAAATACGTCTGGCGCAAAATGGCGCAGCCGTTCCACCCCTGCAGGTACCCACTACCGAAAACTGAATCTCTCTTTGTGAAGATTGCCCATGGGGAGACGTTCTCCAAGCTGGATTGCAAACAGGCCTACTTCCCCATCCCCTTAGCGGAAGAATCATAAAATCTCACTGTGATCAACACACAACGAGTAATCGAAGAACTCATTGGGAACTTGCCGTTCACAGGTGCATTTCAGGATGACAAAGTGGTAACTGGCAAAAACGATCAACATCACCTGCGGAACCTAAAGATCGTACTGCAAAACCAAAACGAAAAAGAGGCCTTCACTTGGGAAAGGCAAAACGCTTCTTCATGCAGGACTCCGTCCAGTACCTAGGACATGTCGTAGACAAGCAAGGAATCCACCCAAATCTTAAAAAGGCGGAGGCGATGCTACAAGCGAATATGCCGAAAGATTTAAAAAAATTCCGAGAATTTCTGGAACTGCTGAACTACTACCGACATTTCACCAGCAACACGGCCGACATCCTACATCCGCTACATGAACTGCTGCGAAAAGGTAAAAGGTGGGAGTGGTCGAGATCATGCCAGAGAGCCTCAACGAAACGAAGAAGAAATTCACATAGCAGAGTCTGCTAGTGCACTATGACCCAGCACTTCCTCCGGAACTGCACTGTGACGCATCGAGCCATGGCATTGGTGCAGTACTTCAACACGTACTGCCAACACGCAACGGAGGCCGATCGCCTTCATGTCATGAACGCTTTACAAATGTGAACGAAACTACTCAGAGATTGAAAAAGAAGCGTTGAGCCTAGTTGAAGGCGAAAAGAAATTTCACCGGTTTTTGTTTGGACGCCACTTCACGCTGTGGACGGACCACAAATCAGAGTTATCGATTTTCAATCCCAGTAAGGGAATCCCAGGCACGGTAGCAGCAAGAATAATGTGATGGGCGATCATCTTGTTAGGGCATAAGTTCGACATAAAGTATCTGTCGACCGATTGGAAAGTCGTTGCAGACATGCTGTCAAGGCTCCCAATGATTGACAACGGCGCAGCAGAATCAGAAACTACAGAAATGGACCAAATAAAATGTCTCTATTTTGAAACGTTTCAAGTACTCCCACTGACACATGATCAGATCAGCAGAGAGACACGAAAGGACACCGTTTTAAGACTCACCATGGAAGGATGGCCGGAACAAGTAAATTCCGATGGCCTCAAGCCTCAATAACGTCAGAGGACGAAACTCACCGTGGAGCTCGACTGCTTAATGTGGGAAGCACGCGTCATCATAACATCCAGGTTCCGAAAACACGCTTTAGAGCGACTTCCTTCGAGGTCATGGGGGTGGCAGAGATGTAGGAACTTGCACGACACTACGTGTAGTGGCCGCTTTTGGATAATGACATCGAAACGATGGTCCCAAGTTGTCGACAATAAAAGGAAGAGAGCAACGAGGCACCCAAAGTTCCCATACACCGGTGGGAATGCCCCAAAAAAATGGCTACCCCTGCATGCAGACTTCGCCGTAACCTTTCAAGGAAGGAATTTCTCGCGGATCATTGATGTATACTAGAAATGGCTCGAGGTCGTAAACATGACCTCGAAGACTTCGGCAGCCACCTTAAAAGTGTTTCTAACTCTTTTTGCAAGATATGAACTGCCAGAAAAAATTGTGACAGAAAATGGCCCACGATTTTGATCAAGCGAATTCCGGGATTTTATGACAAGAAACAGAGTTCTGCAGTCATTCTTGTGGGAGCCACTGGCTTCCATCCCCCGACAAGGCGTAAGCCGCGGACGTTCCGGGCGAAGCCGAGACGACTTCGAGCCCGGTCGCTCCGTATTGGGTCGGGGAGAGTATGTCACCCATGCTGGCCTACTCTCTCGCACTCCTCCGCGCGTCTCCAATTTTCGGAGACGAGAAAGATCGTGAGGGAGAGTCGGGCCTGCCCTCCGAGTGGACGGCCGTGTGGTCGAGGGTTCTTGGATTGGGCTCCGGGCGACGGGTCGAGTCGCGGCGTACGAGCTCGTTCGACCGGCGGTGACTCCACGCTAGCGTTCCCCCTGGCTCTGACAGTCGGCGTCCCCTCTATCTAGTGGACGTCCGTCTGCCGAGAGTCCTGGCCCCGAACACCTGCGACGACGGTTAGCGGCGTGAGCTCGGCCCACCGGTGATGACTCCGCTCTTAATGACCCCTTTGGGTCTCAGGTCGGCGGATGCTGCGGGCACACTGTGTCCGCGGCTCGCTTGACCACAGTGCCTTGTTGGGGACCCATTCGTACTCGATAAACGCTGTTGGATACCGGGATCATTGTTGTTGGCATGGCGTTGGATGAACCCGGCGCGGCGACCGTTCTCTCTGGTAGCCGTAGGCCGCGCCGTGGAATGGGCAGAGGATTCCCCCTTTGACCACCGGTCCCCGGACGCAAAAGGTACCTGATCGGCCCCCTCATCCCCCATATCCTCGCACCGTCGAATGCGCAAGCACTTTGTACAACCAAATATGAGTCGCCGTTATGCTGGACCCCGCGCACCACCACAGACCACTGCCGGCCATCGTGAACAAAACCACGTGATCCCCGTCCCAGCACCACGTGACGGCTGCGTCGCTCCGCACTCCGACGGCTAGAGACGTAGTGCTAGGGAGCGCTCTGAGAGGGAGGGGCGCCCTCGGAAAGAACCAGCCGATCAGGCCATCGCACCCTCTTTCCACCAACATGATCTCGGGCGCTCTGGAAAGAGCGCTCGAGAGCGCGCAGAAAGAACCACGCGAATTCGCCAATATATTACCGCGATTTGGCATCGCGGATGCAACGCTTGTTTCTTTATTTCTTGATTTTACGAACAATAAACACATAAGGCTAGAAGCTAAGGCTAGAAACATCTGCCAACCTGGTTGAGATCAAAGTTCTAAATGTATTCTAGTGTGGTTAACTCTTTAAAAGGTACACACTCAAGGCTAATCAATTTAGACATATATTTCCTTCAGGAAGTACATGTCCTTTATAAAATACCTATGAAAGTATTTTATAAGTGCGAGCACATGTACTCTATAAAAAGAAGATACTTTCTAGAGTTCTATTCAGTATTAATAAATACTTTATATTCGCCACATACCGTCAATAATCTAGTAAAATATTTTTAACTTTTGTAGAAATCTCCCGTGGAATATAACAGCCCTGAATTTATTCGGCTGAAATAAATCTTAAAAATGTTTTGCTTAAAGACGATTCTTCCCAGAAGCTTCAAAGTGTGCTACCGTATAGGTCAAATTTATCACAAGTGGATTGGCCAATATAACAGATATTCAAAATATATACGATATATATATATAACTTTACCATATCATTATCAGATGTCTATTTCGGTGGGGAAAAAATCATCTAGGCACCCATTTTCAAGGTAAACAACAACAAGGTAACAGCTTCCTGTTGTCATATTCATTTCCGGTTACTAAGCGTGGTGTGTGTCTTTCCAAGGGGCTGGAGAGATTACGAGAGCGTATTACCGCAGCTTGTGTCCGAATGATCCAGCTCATTACGAGCAGAGGTTATCGTGCCTACGTCCTGAACTCATCGATTCGTACCAAGATTATTGGAGTCTTCGAAGTAATGACATCCGATATACTGGATGGCTTACTGTATCTAACATATTCCTAAGGTAAATTAGGACAGCGTTCAGACAAGGAAAAAAAACAGACAACAGGATTTATTAAACAGAGCAGATAATTAAAGAATCTGCTCATTCGCTGCAACGTATACCTCGTGATATGGTTCCCATAGTCGCTATTGCGGCAGCGGGTTGCAAAATACTGTGTTTTTTTTGTTTTTTGGTTTCCAACTGCACGGTAAAAGCAACGTACTATTCTAGTGTGAAGCAACGTGTTTTGTTTTACTTTTGCTAAGCTAAACAACAACAAAAAGAAACGCTTGCGATTACGAAATTGTTGGTCGGCCTCTCTTAATTACCTTTTTCCTTTTCGTCAAAATAAAAAGCAAAGTCGCGCTTTCTCTTCTCTGTGAATACGTATACCTCAAGTAAGTGGTGACACTTACAGTCCATCCGCCGCCATCGGTCTTCATGTCACAATACACTGTGATGTTTTCATTGCCAGGATTGATAACATATTGCCCGCTCTCGTAGTTTCCCTTCATTAGTAACTGGGAACAACTGACTGCTCGGCCGCCAGCTGCAAAAAATACACCGTAAAGTAAACGTTCCTTGTCAATGTTGCCAAACTAGGGACTGTGCCACAACCCACCGGGACTGCGGTCAGCGATGCGACACAGTGATTACTAATGTCACAATCTGTCACAGATGGAAGGGAAGAGGCACAGAAGTTCAGGGTATCCCCTCCAAAATAATTTGAAGGGTTGTTTTTTTTTTTCACCGCAAAAGTAAACTACACATCCCCGAACGCTCATTCGCCGCCCAACGGTAGCGCTAGAGGTCCGCACGAGATGACAAAGTTCAGCCCGAACCAATATCCTATTCAAAAGGTATAAGTGATTTTCTTAAAAGTTCAACGGGAAAACTGCGGCCGACGGAGCTTTCGAATACATGGAGCTCTATGGGCGCCGGAAACTGAAAAAGGCCGAAAATGGGCCCCATTTTTCCATTGAAAGTTTCAGGAAATCGCTTACGCTGAGCTCAAGTTCGTCTGCTTCTTCTGCAGGCGTTGTGGTGACGTCAGGAAGACGCTGACCTTTGATTGGCTCTGATTGAAGGATAGTGGCCAGCCGCCTTGAGGTCTACCCACTATCCTTCAATCAGAGCCAATCAGAGCTCGGCTTCCTGATGTCAGCACAACCCATTCAAAAGAAGCAGACGAACTTGAGCTCCGCATTATGTTTGAATAAAATATCGGTTCGCGCTGAAACTTTAGCCTGTGGTTCGAACCTCTAGCACTCCCTTTTGGAAGAGAATGAGGGTTCAGCGATGCGTAGTTTAATATTGCGCTGAAAACAACCCCGTAGATTTTTTGGGGGGGCTTCTCTTTTGCCTAAAGGGCCTTCAATGACCTTTTAACGTGGTACACATTGATTCATTGAAGCGTTCGAGCAAAGCGGGTGGCCAACTGGCTGCGGGTTAGGTTATGACTGCCGCGACGATGACGGGCCCCTTCCTAGATTAAGGCTTAAGGTTGTTTCACATGCTGCGATTCTGGCCTGAAATCGGTGCGATTTCCAGTAGATGTGCGATTAAAATCGCAGTCGCACTGTCGCCGCGGCTCTGCGACTGCTTTTCACAAAGTTGGTATGTTGTCCCAGATTCGGTGTGATCGCTTCATCGCCAAGGCAGCCGTTCATTATTAGGCAGCTTTCATCCCGATCGCTGCGCATTCGAAAATAAATTTAGACACATTAATTTTAAGTATCAAACCCTCACTAAATTGAACAGACCAAAATGCCATCTGCAAATAATTTGACAAAGACTACATCCTAGCACCGGCATGGATTGAAGGAATTGCATAATTTTCCAGTCTGACTCAAGACATTTCTGACAAGTTACCACAAAGGGGAAATTAGCGATCCGACACACTCCTATGCACTTTTACCTTCAAATTTGAGAGCTTTTTATTTAAGATACAGTTCTGCTAGCTAAAAAGAATATGAAAGAAGTGAGGAGGAGGGGAGCTTATGCCCCTCCTCCTCCTCTGTACCCTCCTCTCCTCTTCTTCCTTTCCTCCTGCCTCTGAATTTGTTCATGGGTGACGCGACACGAAGTCGTGACGTCATTTTCCCCGATAAATTTAGCGAGAAAACTGATTTGGTGTTGAGGCCACTCGACGTCAATTTGCCCACTAAATTTAGCGGAAAAATTTCCCCGCTAAATGTAGTGAGGAAACCGTCCCATAATGCAACGCGCCCGGTTACGTCGACGCTGATACCGCTCAAGGCTACCTAAAGGAGTAAGCACATGAGCGACAAAAACAGGCGCCCGCACGGTGATTCCAATAAAAACAGTAAAGGACGCTGTGACGTGGACCTATGCCAAACCGCCACGTCACAGCGTCTGCGCAAGTTGCGATGGAAACTGTGGCGCCCGTTTTTGTCGCCCATGTGTTTCTTTCTTAAGAGCTGCGCCCTAAAACTTCCAATATGTGCCCGAGCTAGACGAAAAAAACTATCAGGTTAGCCTCCATACATCATCTTGCCCTCTAAAGAAACTCCGGTTGCTTCAGGAAAAAATATATATGCCCTTTATGTCAAGTGACATCACTTTACAGTTTTGTTGGTCAAAATGTTTTAGAGGCCTTCATTTCCGCTTTTCGCGGCGCCGCCGTCAGCGTCGGCGTCGCCGTCGGCGACGGCGTAGCCGCCCTCCTGAATTGAGCGGGAAATTGAATTGGTTTTCAGGTCACGTGACGTCAATTTTCCCGCTAAATCTAGCGGAGAACTTGAATTTGTTCATGGGTGACGTGACACGAAGTCATGTGACGTCATTTTCCCCGCTGCATTTAGCGGAAAATTGAATTGGTTTTGAGTTTACGTGACGTCAATTTCCCGCTAAATCTAGTGGAGAAACTGTGGGAGGAGGAGGGAAGGTTACGGAGGAGGAGGAGGGAAGGTTACGGAGGAGGAGGACGGGAGAGTACGGAGGAGGAGAGGTATACCCTCCCCCCCTTCTCCTCAAGAGCTGCGCTCTAATTTTGCATTTCGGAGCTCTGTAGACGTATTGCATTTTTCGGAACTCGTAGTTATTTCATCGAATCACGATCAGCTCGCCTAGCTCCTAACCTTGTATTCAAGAGAGTGTGGGACTCATTGACACAGTAAGGTTCTAGATAGTATTTTGGATGTTCCTCCTTCTTGGTGGTAAGGAGGAACGGTCTTGCGCTGGACCTTGGCGTCAGTAAGTGAATTAGACGGGACAATTTCTAGTCTTAAACGTCATACATTTAATAGTAGACATTCAGAAATGAATTAAAGTTGGCGAAACGAACACACCTAGGCCTCGACAACCCGAGCAAGGGACTTGGTCGTTGTCATAAAGTGGCTTGTATCTCTCTGACGTTACCGACCCGAAGATGCCCTCTTTCTCTCTTGTGCTCTTATAGTCTTCCGCCTTTCCCTCTTCCCCGTTTTCCCGTAAGGGTCAATCCGGAGCCCGAGCCCAGAAACGAGATGGTGTCGGGCATAGCAAACACAGGGAAGTGTGGCACTCAAACAAAACAAATCACATCTGCCACTCCGAGCATCGGAGAGCGGAACAAATGCGGACAAACGAGGCACAGCGCCGAGACACTTCTACGGAAGCGGTCTAACGCTTGACAACGGAAAGCGGCAAACTGTTCTTGCCACATAAAAAAAAACATTGAGTGGTAGCACTAGTCGCCAGACAAGTACGTTGTGCGTTACTAGTAACGTGTTACGTTTGCCTTTTACTTTTTCGGTAACGAGTAATCTATTTAGTTGCCTTTTTAGAAAGGAAACAAGTTATTTTGTTCCTTTTAAGGCCAAGTGACGGGTATCGGTATTTCGTTACTTGGTAGCAGCAACGTGTACAACACAGTTTAAGAAGCTTCATTTTAATTCTGACCTGTGTGTGCGTCTGCTGCATCAAAAGCAGATGAGGAGCCCGAAAAACGACTAGATGACACAATAGCAACGTTTATCGCTTAACACGTCAGTCTAAGAACTGCTGAGAATGTCCTTCACCCAGCGAACGCAATAAGGTTCGTTGAAGGAGCCTTCAATCGTGTACAGACCGAATGTAAAACCGGAGGTTTCCAACCCGAGAAGGCAAAGAACCTATTGTCAACCTCGATCCCTACAAGCAGATATATCAAAACAAAGACAGGAATCCCAGATTCTCCAGCTCTTCCTGAAACACAACACTGCCGTTCCTTAGAGCGCGTCAGTAGAACGACCCTTCAGCGTCGCCGGAGATGTGTTCTCAAGGAAGCGGGGAAACACAGCTGATGAAAGCATTGAGAGGCAGCTGCTGCTTAGGTGCAACAACTACTTAAAAGTACACAATAAACCATGACGGAAAAGCAGTTGGGCATTTGGTCGCTAAAACAACATGAAAAGTAACTCGCTACTTTTAAACTATAATAGCGCGTTTTTTTTTTTTTGACATTCGGTAACGAGTAATGTATTGAGTTGCCCTCTTAGCGAGTAACGAGTAATGTTATTTAGTTACTTTGGAGGAGGGGGGGGGGGCGGTAACGCGCAAATGTCTACTGGTAGCCCACCAAAGAAAATCCATTACGTGGAGAGCCTTCCCAGCCGCAGCCAGCTTAGCAAGAGGCGGGTGGGTCGCCCTAACCCCACGGGCTGTTCCCGAGTGACGGGACACCCGTAACGCTAGGGACTCCTCACCCCACGCACAAACTCCTACCGTTTATAGTTCGATAACATTGGGGAACCTTACAAACACCCTTGGAGGTTAAAAATTACTTAGCTCGTAAGAAGCCTGCAAGAGTTAGGGAACTACTCAAACACGCAAAAGGAAATATATATCATTAAAAAAAATAATAATAAGCGGAAACGAGAATTCATTGGGGCAACCTTACGATGGTGATATTAGCGCGATGCTAGGGCAGATGGAAGAAGAGTTCGCAGTGGCGGAAAACAAAATAGGGAACGTCAACTTCTCGACGTCTCGATATTCAAGACGTTGCTTGTCCTTTTTTCCTACCGCTGCAATTTTTTATATTTTTCTCATTCTGCCCCTTGCACGTTATAATATCAGTGTGGTAAATTTTCATCCGCTCGTTCTCATTCCCAGGAAAGCTACGATGCCTCTATTGCGAGGTTCGTTTCCCGGAAAGAAAAAACAGTGCGCAATTTCTTTGACGAACAGTATATACAGTTCAAGACGGGAGTACTACAATTCAGGGATACACGCAGCAAATAAGAATTCCCATATAAAGCAGCCACCAGTAAGACATTTCCTTGATTGCGACGATCGTAGTTTTACAATTGTTTGTTCTAGAAACCTCACAACTTGACAGCTGCTGGTCCCTTATTTTACTTTTTTTCTCTAGTATCGCGAGGAAACAAAAAACGAAACAGGCAAACATATCCATTTAACCCTCAAAGAAGGCCAGATACAGTGAAGAAGGAAATCATAGTGGATTTGGGGAATGACTCCGAATATTGAACGCCATTACAACTTGCCTCCAGAACTCCTCTCTATTACCTCATCATCGGCTTTCCTACGTTTTGGACCTAGAGTGGCAGGCTTCAAACAGCCGATTATGTAGATCAAACGTTCATAATTTCAATAAAACTACAAATTGAGAGAAAGTATTAATTCCTTTGTTTTGTATATGGAGATTAAAAAAATTTTGAAACGCATATTTTGAAGTAAATATTAATTGTATATCTATAACTTTATGCTGTGTTCCTTTGTAATGTAATTTATTGCAATATAGCCGTATCAGGCACCGTAAATTGTCGAGTAATTTAGCTATAAAGTAAAAGTAATTTGTCACCCCTGGTTACGAGTAATGCTTTTGCGTTGCACGGCCATCGCGCCGCTCCCGTTCCTAGGCCACCGGACACTATGGCTGTTGTATTCAGCGCCACCAGGCTGAATGCCACCCACTGCGGTGGCCTTCAGCACTTTTGCCTCCCGGGGCAAAAAGAGGCGCTCGGCTGGCCTTTCCCAGCGCTGCGGAGAACCAGAATCGAGGTGCCTTGGAAACAGAGCCATCGACGCTCGCGAACGCGGCGACGCACACACTGATCCGCCAGTCTTTTGCTCCCGTATTCATCTGGCCGTCGCTTGAAAGAAACTCCTTCTTGGCGGAAAGAGCTGATATTACAGGCTTATTTGCATTTAGAGGGAAAAAAGTCAAAATTACATTGGATATACAGCAAGTATAGCGAGAATACGATATATCTCAAAAGTCTAGGGAAATTTATATCTAAAAGCAAATTGCGCGACACTGTTAGCTCGAACAAGCGATCCCCGGCTTTTCTTCTGCCTCGCTCCTAAAAGCTAAATATTGTCGTTAAAATTACTCGGACGCTGGTAAGTCCTCACTGATGAATCTCGCGTAACTGGTAAAATTTGGTGCCTAACAAAGACCTTTCGAAGTCAAACTTTAAAATGAAATGTCAATCTCTTGTTCGAGCTAACTGTGCCGCCCATTGTACATTACGCCCGATGTGTTGCTACAATTAACCATAGAGCTGCTGATTCAACACTGTTCCTTCTACGTGGTTCAATAGAAAAAGTGGTCTTACGTTTGCGCGTATTGCAAGGGTCAAATATCGTGTAGGTTTTTCTATATCCGCTTCTTTCAGTTACTTCCGGAACTCGCTTAGAGCTGTTTTCCGTAAAGACGTTCCCGGCTACAACGGGAAGGAAAAGGACCGCTACGAACATGTCGCGATTTTTCGTCGGCGGTTCAGAGGTTTGCACAAGTCGTAACCAACGCTATATATGATTTTTGTCCCGTCTTATATAACATAATAATTCCACAGCAATAAACCAGATGAGCACGTGCCGCATATAACAAAGAATAAAAGAATTTTCTATATGATTGATACAGCTTAATGGCGTATATTCCGCAAAACAGAATGTTTGAGCAGAGCACTACTGTTGGCTACGGTAGGCGAGGCAGAGATCCGGGTGCGTGCCAGCTGTGATTTAGAAACATGTTTTCTATAGACGTCTTCGGCACCTATCACCCGGGCGATCAAGGCGCAATCACCGAGCCCTTGACGCAAGCAAAGCGTCTGTTATGTCGTACAACAGACCTAGAGCGTATGCTCAGAAGGCGTTCCACAGCCCAGCAGCCTCAGATATGGAAGCGCTGAGAAGGCGATTGTTTTCAAGGCTTTCAGACCGCTTTTTTGTGACAACCACCGTGGCGATTTTTGATGTAGCTTATTTGGGGCAAAATAGCGAATCCCTTAATTTGCCGAATGGAAGTCGCCGAAATTCAAGGGGTTTGCGCCGATAGCTGTACTTTTTTTTCATGGCTGTACTTTTTTATTGTAGTTGGGCTTAAACTCTTTATTTTTTTGTAGCGTAACCAAAGCACGTCAAATGGAAACGGTAACATGAAAACGGTCTTTAGCCAGCCGGCAACAGCAATTGGGCGCCAGCAGAGTAATATCCCTAAAGGGTCTTTAAAGAGCCCATGGTTATACCCTGCCTCAGCAGGACTTGCAGTCCACACTCACGTCGAATTCTCGAAGTCGAAGACCACCGCGCGAGACGTCTTGAGGGATGCTTCAGGTTTGCGAGTCAACAGAGCGAGTGGTGGTTTGTGACAACACAAAACGGGCTTCCGTAGAGGTACTTGCGGAATTTTGTGATGGCTCAGACGACGGCAAGACATTCCTTCTCGCTCGCCGAGTAATTCCCTTCCGTGTTCGACAATATCCGACGAGCCTAGGCGATCACTTGCCTGTACCCTCCTGTCGTTGGAACAGTACCGCGCCGAGTCCTGTATTCCTGGCGTCCGTCTGAAATTCTTTATCGGTTGATTGTTCGAAGTGGCCAAGAATCGGTGGCGACTGGAGTCGCCTTTTTAGCTCGTAGAATTTCTTTTGTTGTTCTTGTCCCCATTGGAAGTTCACGGTGTCTTTCGTGAGGTGCGTGAGTGGCGCAGAAAGCTTGGCAAAATTTCAAACAGGGCGCCGGTAATACGAATAAAGTCCCAGAAATCTTCTGACGGCGTTCTTCTCGGTGGGCGGAGGAAATGTCGCTACGGCGCGAGTCTTCTCAGGGTCAGGACGAAGACCTTCGTTGCTCACAACGTGACCTAGGAACTTCCATTCATCATAGGCGAACAGGCGCTTCGTCGGCTTGAGGGTGAGTCCGGCGTTCCTCATTGCTTGAAGAACGGCCCGAGGGCGTCGCAAGTGTTCGTCGAAAATGGCCGAGAATACCACGACGTCGTCGAGGTAAACGAAACAGCTCTGCCATTTGAGGCCTGCCAGTGCGGGGTCCTTGACAGGCTGGGAAGTTGCCGGCGCCGTGCACAGTCCAGAGGGCATCACCTTGAACTCACTCAGTCCATCGCGCGTGACGAAGGCAGTCTTCTCTTGGTCCCGTTCGTCGACTTCGATCTGCCGGTAGCCGCTCTTTAGGTCCATCAACGAAACGTATCGGGAGTGGCGCAGCCGGTCCAACTTGTCGTCGATGCGGGGGAGCGCATACACGCCTTCTTCCGTCCCCACGTTGAGCCGCCGGTAATCCCTTCTTTTTCACCAGTATGGCTGGAGAGGCCCAAGGGCTGCTTGAAGGCTGGATAATGTGGTCGTTGAGCATTTGTTACACTTGTTCATGACTGGCCTCTTTTTCCTTTGGGGCGACCCCGTACGGCGGCCGATGCATAGGGAGCGCATCGCCATTGGTAACGGTGCGATGTTTCGCAACTGTAGTTAGGCGCACTTCCGACGTAGTCGCAAAGCGGTCGTTGAATACGGCGAGGCGGTCTCTGAGCTGTCCGTGGCACTCAGCTTGGGGTTAACGTCACGCTGCGGCGGTGGTGTACTGTACGGCTGAGATGTCGAGGGCTCGTCGGAGATTGCAGGGATTTCGGTGGCGTCCCGTAGTTCTTCGACGTGGCCTACAGCGGCACCTATCGTGAGGTGCTGCGCCTCCTCACGAGCGTTCGTCAAGAGTACCAATGTACACCCGCCGGCAATATGAAGGTGAACGCCGGACCGTCGACCGCTCCGTGCTATCAGCGCGATGACGCGGCTACCGTGACGCCTCGCTTTCTTATCACGATATAAATGTGAACGGCGGACTGTCCACCGCTCCGTGCTCTCAGCGCCACGACGCGGCTGCCGTGGCAGCCGCGTCGTGGCGCTGAGAGCATGGAGCGGTCGACAGTCTGGCGTTCACCTTCATATTGTCGGCGGGTGTACGTCCATCCTGCAGCTCTCTTATGCCCCTTGCGACGCCTATTCCCCTTCCGAGAAGCTGTTGAACGTTGCCTTCAGAAGAAGTTCCCCGCCGATGACTGCATCGGTTACGATGGACAAAGGACACTCGATTGCTGCGGCAGGTTTACATGGTCCTGAACGGCTGGGACGGCGGCTGGCGTCATTTTGGATGCTTCCGGAGGTAGGACGGGCTTTCGCAGCGCCAACCTGTTCTCTCCAAGGTCGATCACGGCACCTCATTCACGCAGGAAGTTCATGCCAAGTATGACGTCTCCTGCATAGTTCTAAAGGACGACGAACTTCACCGTGCAGGTTTGCCAATGAACCTCGACGTGAGCAGTGCACCATGCGGCAGGTGTCATGAGGTACCCTCCTGCGGTTCGGATCTTTGGGTTATCTCTTGGCGTCGTTACATTCCGAAGGCGGCGAGAGAGCCTCCCGCTCAAGACTCAGTAGTCTGCTCCGGTCTCCACGAGAGCCGATTTCTTGTTGCCGTCGATAACAACGTTTAGGTTGTTTGGCTCCATTTCAAGAGGTCGTGATGCGTGCACTCGAGAAAGTGGGAGCGCTCTGGCCTTTTCTCAGGTCTTTATTTCAGTTGCCTTCGGCCACGCCAACTCCAGGTGTTGCCGCACTTAGGTTTTCTGTCGAGGCAGAGGAGAGAGGCTTTTTCGGCGGGGTCGTGGTGCTGGAGACGCGGAACGTCGTGGCGAGGGTGAGTGGTACTCACGGCGGAGGGACGGCGCTGGGGATGGCGAACGTCGGAGGTACTTCTGTCTGCGACGGAATCCTTGCCTCCGAAACCAGTCGTTGTCATCGCGGGCTTCCGCGAAGGCATTCAGCGTACACACAATCCTGGCCCATGCCCCACTAACAACGAGGTGAGACGGGCAGCCCGACATCTCGAAGCACATGGACTCTCCATCTCGTTTAAGTGGGTCCTCTCCCATGTGGGCCTTTGCGGTAACGAGATCGTGGACCGCATAGCCTCTTGTGCTCACGACCTCATTCCTACGGTCGGTGCGGCTTTTGATCCCCGACGCTATCATCAAGCCGTCCGGGCCTTCTCTGATTTCTCTCCCTGGGGCGACTCAAAGTGTCCACCTTGCCTGACTCAAGGCTTGAAAAGGTCCGACGCGACGCTGATCTTCCGACTCAGGACAGAGAGCTAATGCATACACAGGGAGGCTGCTCCACCGGTTTGAACGTAGAGGCTCTCCTCTCAGCCTGCGGTGTGTGGTCACGGAGGACAAGGCTCACGTCGACTGACGACGACCCTCTCTAAACGATGATGTTTCTTTCCACCCTTTCCTCACAGCAGACATGACTAACCGCAGCATCGGACGTGGTTTACCCTGAAGGTCCCAGACATAGAAGACCGATTATACAGACCCTCCTACTGCGTTTCCTACCAAAGACCGGCCTCGCGAAGCATCCATGACGTTCCCTCTTGTTCTTCCGCCAAGTCCCGTCAGTCCGGCCCTGGCTCGCCGTCTCGCTGACTGAAACATGAATGCTACTGGCTTCTTTGGCCCCTTCCCTTCACCGAAACCTCATAATTTTTCCCCTCTCCGCGCCCAGGTGGGAACAACGCTTGCACTTTCGGCAAGGCTAACCCTGCTCTCCCCCACCTCACGACACGCCCCCCCCCCCTCCCCCCGTAGAAGTCAGTCTCGTAACAGCGCTTGAAACCTCTGTTTCGCCGACACCAACGCTTGCGACGCTAGTTATCTTTCTTCTGTATTGACACACGTTCACTTTAATAAACGATCCCTTATTTTCCTCATCCATTGTGATATTTTTGGTGGCGGTGCGGGGTATATATTGGAACGACGCCAACAACATGACACCCTGATAAAAAGATATCTGCTGTAAAAATCTGAAGCGAACGGACGTCAGCTTCCCACACTAAAAACTGTAACAGCATTTTTTTTTTTTTAGACGTATAGTGAAAGTTTATATTGGTTTGTGGTCTGCTACCCGATAACACCCTACAGCGATGGGCCGTCACACGGCAGTTTATTTGGTGTTCATATAAAGTGGACAAGAAGGATACAATATTTCTGTTTCGCTTCTTTTCTGGAAACAAAATCCTCTCAAGCACACACTTCCGAATATTGCAATTTTCACCACGCCGTACAAGTCAGTCTCGCACTAGAGCTCAATTCTGTTTTGACAACATCGGTGCCTGCGACAATAGTCTTTTTTTTTTATTTTCGTTATTCCTTGTTGTCTCGCCAGTCATCGCTTGCCACGCATCATGTGTTCGGTCCAACGGGTCAAATAATCTTGAATCTTCTCACCGCGCTAATTTTTGCCCCTAACCAGCTCAATCGTTTAGAGAGAAACTTCGTCAACACGAGCTCATAATCTCGCGGGCCCTATGAAAAAACAAACACAATCTAGCAACCAGAAAAATAAAGCTAACTTCATTTACCATGTAAGTATCCTCTTAGTTCAATAAAGACTGTTCAAGCAGCA